CTCTTCAGTTTCTTGGAAGAACTAAGTATTTCATTTTTAGGTGCTATTATAAATGGTATTTGATTTTTAAAATCATTTTTCCAATTTTCACTGCGTTTATACGGAAATACAATTTAATTTTGTATGTTGACCTTACGTCCTTCTGATCTTGCTAAATTATTAGTTCTAGTAGCTTTTTTGTAGATTCATTAGGATTTCCTACATACACAATCATGTTATTTGCAAATAAAACAATGGTTTTATCCAGTTTGGGATTTATTGTGTTTCCTGAATCTAAGAATGTTAAGTTTTTGATTCTGGAAAATGCTCCACTCTTCAAATATTGCCTCGGCCTCATTCTCTTAATTCTTTTTTTCTGGAATGTTTCTCTGTATTGTGAACTAAAATGAAATCTTAAGGCTTCCCCACCACTGGCTGACTGAATGGACGACCCCGCCCAAGGGGATATCCTAAAACTGAACTGCCGGCCACCAGGAGGGAGGTCAGACATGCTTCATCATGCCCCCTCCCTTCTTGGAGACATCCTTTGTAACCCATTACCAGGCCTAAGGCCATGCAGGACAAATCTGCAGGTCCTCAATTTACACAACAAATATGTCCAGTAGCTTGTCTCCGATTAGCAGACCTCCTTATCTTAAAACATTCAAAGCCTTTAGACAAAGCTTCATGTCTTTAACCAATTACAAGTCAAAGAATCTTTAAAGCTACCTACAACCTGTAAGCCCCCCACTTGGAGATGGCCCACCTCTTTGGGCCAAACCAATGTATGCCTCCCACGTATTGATTTATGACTTCACCTGTAACCCCTGTCTCCCTGAAATGTATAAAACCAAACTGTAACCCAACCTCTGCGAGTCCACTGCTCAAGGCTTCTTGGGCATGGCCCCAGGTCCTGGTCCTCAAATTTGGCTCAAAAGAAACCTCTTTAAATTACTTTACAGAGTTTGGCTTCTTTTCCATTGACAGTGTCCTCCGTGTCTCTCAACTTTCCTCATATTTTCCGCTTTTTAATCTTTTATACTGCATTGTGAATAATTTCTTCAGATTTATCTTCCCTAAGTCTCTCTTGAGCATTTAATTTACAGGGTGTCCCGAAAGTCACATATATAGGGCAAAAGGGAAATTGTAGCTAAATGTACCTTTATTTACAAAATATTCATTACAAAATTTTATAAAATTTTTCATCTGTATGGAGACTTTTGGGACGCTCTGTATTTAACCTATCCATTGAATTTTTCATTTCAATAATTGTTCTTTTAATTTCTATAAACTCTTTTTGGTTCTTTTTCAAATATACTTGGCTATTATTTAAAGTCCCTCATATTATAAATACCCCCCACTTTTTTTTTTGAGACAGGGTCTCACTCTGTCACCCAGGCTAGAATGCAGTGGCGTCATCATAGCTCACTACAACCTGAAACTCATGGGTTCAAGGGATCCTCCTGCCTCAGCCTCCTGAGTAGCCGGGACTACAGTTATGCACCACCATGCCTGGCTAATTTTTCTATTATTTTGAGGAGACAGGGTCTTGCTCTTGCTCAGGTCCTGGCCTCAAGCGATCCTCCTGCCTCGGCCTCCCAAAGTACTAGGATTACAGGTGTGAGCCACTGCGCCTGACCTATAAACTCCTTCTTTTACGTTGTTAAATATACTAAACATGCATTATTATGCATTCTGAAGTCTATGTGCATTTGACTTTTCTGATTATTGTTTCTACTGTCTTTTGCTCATGGTGACATGTTTCCTTGAGTGTTTAATGCTTTTTAATTCTTGAGCATATGTGACTTGGCACTTTGGGAATTCTTTACGGCCTGGGTTGAAGACATGGTGCTTCAGAGAGGAGCTGCATTTACCTCTGCTTTCTGGACAACTGAAAAATTCTCAGCTGAGGCTTTTTACACAGTGTGTGCAAAAGGCTAAAAAACCATGCAGCAGCTTCCTTGTGCTTCCAAAATCTTGGAGAGGCAGTTCCCCCTCTTTAGCCACAGCCAAGGTCAAAACTGGCAACCTGCGTGTTGCACAGTGGGTGTATTTGTACGCCGAGGGGGCCGTCCTTCGGGGACTGTTTTGTGTGGAAGTCTCCAACTGATCCTCCACACTGACAGGCTTTGTCTTCTGCCTCCCGCGCCCAGCTGTCTAAACGGAGGCTCCAGAGCACCAGGCTTCGATCTCCCCAGTGGCTCAGGTGCTTCCTCTCTGGATTTTGGCTTTTACTTCATTTTTGACCTCTGAGGATTACTTTCCTGTCCGTTCATCAGTGCATTTAGAACATTATAGCCGGCGTTTTTCAGTTATTTTCAGTGGGAGGATTGCCCAGGGTGTTTAATTGCTGTATCATAAGACATGCAAGTAAGGGACTTCACTGTATCTGACCACCATTCAGTCTTGATGAAAACAGGGCAAGAAAACTGTGCTCCTCTCAAATAACCATACCTGAGTGACAGTTCCGAAACCTGTCCCTGCAGTAGATTTAACTTTTGAACATGACGTCTGCAGTCAGCACCAGAGCCCTCACCGTAAGCCTGAGAAACAAAAAATACATTAAGTTTAAAAAGTGTTGGCAGAATGCTGAGAAACAGATCCATTTGAGATGTACCTCGGGGAAGACAAAGCTGTGAGGCCCAAAGACATGCCTAAAGCAGCTTGCAGGCATCCTGACGACTGACCACTATTTCTAGAATGATTTGAAAACTAGCAGGCTCTGTAACTAATAGCTTAGGTCTACCTAGCTGCCCAACTGGGGCCCCGAACTCTACCTATCAAAGCCAAACTCAACCCAAAGCCTTACACAAAATGGTTAATGAATGTGAACAAAAAGTCCTCAAGAAAGTAATACATATTGCCAAGAAATATATGAAATGATACTTAACCCTCACTGATAATCAAAGGAATACAAAATAAAATGAGATACTTTTTTCCCACTTAGCAGTCGCTAATTCAGCCAATACTTATTGAGCACGTATTATGCACCAGGCCCTGGTCTAGGTGTGGACAACACATCAGTGGACAAAACTCCCTGTCATCACAGAGCTCACACCCCCGTGTGTGAGAGGGGACAGGCAATAATCAGATGGGGTAAGTGCTCCTGAGAAAGATAAGGCAATGCAAAGGGGCTGGGGCACGGTCGGGGACAGACACACAATTTTGCACGTCTATTCGCAGTGGCCAAGGCGTGGGTCACTGAGATGGTGACACTGGAGCACACACGGGAAGACATGGGGGAGCAAGCTAGGCAGCTGTCTGGGGGGAGGGCGTTCCGCCAGAAGCAATGACACGGAAGGAGGGCAAAGCCCCTGAGCCTGGCATTTTGGAGGGGCAGTGCGGAGGCCGGTGTGGGTGGGGCTGAGTGGTGTCAGAAGACACAGCTGAGGTTCGAGGGTGTGAGCCCCACCACAGGCAGAACCAGCGTCACGGGCCTGAGACCTGCTCTGCTGTTGCCACCTTGAAATTCTTAATAATTTGACCTTTGAACCTGTTTTATAGGTGAAGAGTGACGGGACAAGGAACACACAGTGAGCAGATACACACACTACACATGTCTCCTGCTCCTCCCCACCCCATCTGCAGAGAGTGTTCTTTATTTTCCTTTAAAATTTTTTTTAGAGATAGGGTCTTGCTGTATCTCCCAGGCCAGAGTGCAGTGGTGTCATTACAGTTCACGGTAACCTCAAACTTCTGGGCTCAAGTGATCCTCCTGCCTCAGCCTCCCCAGCAGCTGGGAATACAGGTGTGTGATACCATACCCCGATAATTCAGAGAGTGTTCTAGATGCCCCATAAGCACAGAATGCCTGGGCACTCATGGTGCATAAGAGCTAGTAAGTCAGGTGAGGACTGAGAACCAACCATTGTTTTTAGCATCCCGGAGATCACTGCCAACCGTGACATGAGCAATTTTAGGGGACAGGTGGGGAGGTGAGTGGGGAGCGTAGTCCTGTTCGGAACACGTTCAGGTGAATGGAGAACTGGAGAGGGACGGTAAAGTTGAAAAAGACCCATAACCTAGACCTGGCATGACCGGTAGGCGTGTGCTCTCCCGGAGGGCAGAACCACTGGCTGAATACTGAAATGCATTCTCCCCGTGGGGGCACAAAACTAGACTGCATTCTCCAGTCTGCCTGTGGTCAGGGGTGGCCATGAGACCGGGCTCTTTCCAGTGGAATGCTGTCTGCCTCCAGGCCTTGTCCTGAAAGCTTCCCAGGTAGCTCCTCCATGCTCTTACCCCTTTCGGTGGCTGAGGGCAGTTGCAGATGAGCCTCAGGGAATAAAAGACCCCCAGGATGACAGCAGCCTGGGTCCCTGAGTGACCACAACAAGGACAGCGCCCTGCAGACCTTAATGTCCTCTCGGGACTGTTCTACGAACAAGAGAAACACCTTCTGTTGTGTCAACCCACTACCATTTTGGTATGTGTTTGTCACTGCAGCCTCGGCAGCCGTACGTCACGTACCACGGCACAGGCATGGAGGAGCGAGAGAGGGCAGGCCTTCCTCCGGGAGAATTCAGAAGCGCGTATGGCATCTAAGGTAAGCAGCAGTCCCTGTGTGGGGGTCTGCCTGGCTGATGAGCCAGCCCTGTCTTCTGAGACCCAACCCCAGTTACTGGACTAGTGCTGCTCCCAGGAGTTTGTCCCTGGGACTCAGCTCTTCCAGCTGGCTGGAAACGAGACTCTGTGAACTCGGCAGAGAATGTTACTGTGAACTGCCTAGGAAGCAGCAGGAAGGGATGGAGAAGAGAAAAGGGAGGAAAGATACAGGGAGGAACTGGGTGAGGGGAGGAGAAAGGAAGGAGAAGCTGAAGCCTGGCTTGCCCGCAGCCACTCAGTTCTTGGGGCCGGCTCTTTAAGGCGTCAGAGATAAACTTCTGCCCTTGTATTCCCTAAGATGCTTCACTGCCTTGCCAGCACATGCTTTTTTTTCTTTTTCCCCTTTGCTGAAGCCATTCTGAAGTGTTTCTGTCTATGATTTGCAACTAACTAAGAGAAACTTGATTGAAAAACAGCAACTTAACTTCTAGGATTTTGTCCTAAGGAAATAAATAGTAAACGGTCCAGTGAACTGAAAAGCTTCATTGAAGAGTTGTGCATAACACTGAAACAGAAAATCAAGGTCAATGCCCATCAGTGTGGGACTGATTACTTATTCATTCAACAAATACATATGGAGCACTGGCTACGAGCCAGGCACTGCGCTGGGTGCTGCGGACCCATCAGTAAATAAAACACGAAACACCTCTGCTTTCGCGGAGTGTACAGTCTGAGGGACAACACTCGCACAAACACACTGATACATGATTTCCCACACGATGCTGAGAAGAGGGAGGGGAGCCCCAACAATGAACACAAAGGCCCCAGGAGGGAGCAAATGCGGCTGCAGCAGGAGAAAAAGGATGACAGATGAGGCGGGAGATGCAGCGTCAGGGCTGCAGCAGGTGAACAAAGTCAGGCCCGACAAAGCAGGACGCGGGACAGGTTGTGGTGCTGAGAGTCCGGGCAGGACACGATGGCTGGGCTTGCAAAGATGTGCTCGATGTCAAGTGGAAAAAGCAGGCTAGATAAGGGCATTTACAACGTGTTCCCCGCCACCCCGTGCTCCCTGACCACCTCCCCTTCCCAAGCCCACCCTCTCCCACAGCCCCGGCGCCACCGACAGCCCACTGTCCACGCCTGCTGGGCTGACTCTCCTGTCATCTCTGACAGGCCCCGACCTTCCCGTTCACGGTGCTCGGTCTAGTTTTCAGTTACGTATGTGTGTGCTCATGTGTGCGCTGGTTTCTCTTCCCCTTCCGCAGGGGTGCATCTGCAAGGGCAAGAACGACAACGGTCTCACTCCCCATCGTTCCCCTGTGCCGGGACCATGGGAAGTACTCGACAGACACTTGCTAAATGAAGAAACATTTTGGACAGTGCCTTTCCAGGTACTGCTCCATCCATTGTACTTCCTGAAGAACAGGGGCCCAGCAAGCAGGGGCTCTGTACCTGGTGAACCCTGTGAGAGAGAAAACGGGGCCAGCCGTGGTTCCGTGAGGACCCGCTCTGCAGGCTGGGCCCCGCCTGCTCTGTTTGTCGGGACTCACCTGCAGAAAGGACTGCTGCTCTCCACAAGCTTTGCAGGTCCACTTGACGCTCTTTTTCACCTACAGAGAAATTTTAGAAATATAACTCAGATAATTATTTAAAACAAAGTATAACTGGATCAGAAATCATTTAAAAAGATCAATGGAAAAGAGAGCCCAGAAATAAACCAACACATAGGTGTGAAAATTTAGTATATTATAAAGGTGGCACTTAAGCTTGAGGCGAGAACAGACTATTTAATTAGGGTTCTGAGAAAACTGGCTACCCATATGAAACAAAATCAGGTTGGGCTGGTGCGGGCCTGTAGTCCCAG